GGGTTTAGGGAAGGGTTTGGGGTTTAGAGCTTCGGGCTGAGGGAATCGATTAACAATACCCCGCCCCCCCTTGTGTAGAGTCCCTGATAGTGGGATCTCTGCTTTGATCCTTCTCCTCGGAAAGGAATTTGCTCTAATCAGGGGTCTACATGGCGCTACATCACATCCCCCCGACTTTTTTTTGTGTCAGAAATGCCTCCTATACTGGTGATTGCAACTTGTTTTCTTCGGCAGAGGTCCCTGGGACTCGACTTATCCTGGGTCCTTGTTGGATACAATTTTACATTTGTGTTATCATAAACCCTAATGAAGATTAAAAATAATCATTTTTAATATGGCCCTAACTGGGAACCAGTATCATCCTATCATGGGAGCAGCCGTCGGAGTCCTTTCCCCTTCCTCGGCTGCCCCACCCCGCTTCAAGGAAGGTCTCCTGAGGGGATAAGGGCTTTAAGTAGGGTTTAGGGTTTAGGGTTTAGGGGTTTAGGAGGGTTTCGGGCTTCAGGGTCTAAAAGGGGCTTAAAGGTTTAGGGTTTCGTCCGCCAGAAGCTCAGGGCCTATGTGCAACACACCCCCCCCAAGTCCCCTGCTGCGAGTTTGAGGTGCTAGATCCGGAGGCTGCCAGGGCTCCAGGAGAAGCATGCCCTTGCCGAAGAATAGTAGCACGAAGAAGAACAGTAAGAAGAAGAAGAAGAGCACAAGACAATGCTGGGGGTGTTGAAGGAGTTGTTGTGACTGCACTCCAGGATTGCTGGATTCAGGGAACTTCCCCTAAGTAAGGTTATAAGTTATAAGTATAGTTACCCCTACTTATAACCCTACTTATAACTACCCGTGAACCTCCAAGAAGGCCTTGGGGGTTTCAACTCCTGCGCCCTGGCCTCTCGAAGCCCAAAGTCTGGAGCCCACACCCTCAACCCTAAACTCTAAAGCCCTGAACCCTGAACTCTTGAGCCGTCTAGGCCCCCAAACCCTAAACTAGAATGTAGGGTTGCTATATTAGGAGCCAGTAGTATGAGTTGGGAAAATACCCTCCCCCCCCCCATAACAGTGCCTAGGATTTGTTTTGGGGCTTGTCATCCTCAAGGTCTGAACCCCGTACTGCCTTCAACACCGCAAGAGTCCACGGGCCCAAGCCGATACGTCAGGGGTCGTAATAAATAGTAACAAGATCCTCTTATCGCCCGTGTATGATCTAGTAGAATATGCCCCAAAGCTGTTCGGGCGTAATTAAGGCTTCGCTTTAAGCTGCAATGTAAAGATCGAAGGCTTCAACCCGCCAACATCGCCGACACAAACCCTTAACCCTGAACAAGACGGCAACCTAAACGTCCAAAGTAGCCACGAAGTAAGTATCTGGATTCAAGATCGTAGTTTTGTCTGGCTGAGTCTTTGGGTGAATATACAATGAGGTTCTTGCAAGCTTAGGGGTAGCGGCAAACCCTAAACCCGTAAACCCCTAAGCCCTAAACCCCTAAGCCCTGAACCGCCAACAAGGAATCTTTGCACGGAGATCATCGAGTACACTGCCGAGGACGAAGCCGCCAAGCAGCATCAGCGTAAAAGCCGCAGACCCCAAGCCATAACACCTACATGCAGCCGAAAAATACCCAACCCTTTCAATGTTCCTTTGCATGGTTTATCTCTCTCTCTCTCTATTTATCTATCGATCTATCTATCTATCTGTCTATCTATCAATCGATCTATCGATCTCTCTATCTATCGATCTATATTTCCTCAAACATGTCGAATTTGGGGGGCTACAGGTAGACCCTACTGTAGGCCCTAGGCACTACCCTTCCGCACTTCGGGCTTATGGATTATGGTCTAGGCTGTATTTTTGTGTTGAGGACGATCACCTTGGACCTTTACTTTAAACAGTTAAGCCATGCAAGTCGCTTTAGTGGTGTCAGCGCCCCAGGGATTCTGGGTGTGGACCAGACATCGATTCGAAGCCCTAACAAGACCCGAACTCTAAAATGTGAAGCCAATGTTCCTCCCCAGTTTGGTGCTACCTAACCCCCAAAACCCCAAACCCTGTACCTTAGACCTTAAATCCCAAACCCTAACCCCTTAACCCTGAACCCGAAGCCCTTAAACTTTTAACCCCAAACACTAAGCCCCTTAATTGGGGCCCCTCATTGTAGTCATAGTATATTATGCCCCAAAACCCTATTCTAATTATTAAGGCCCCAAGCCGTACCCAGGTTGCGGTGTGCAATCTCGCGTCCATCTCCCTCCCCAGCTTTGCCAGCTCTGAGGCGATATGGCGGGGGGGTGGGGGGCAGAGCATAGCCCTAGGGGTCCAACGTATTTAGTACGGTAAAGGATTTAGGGTTTAAGGGTTTAGGCTTTAGGGTTTAGGGGTTTACGGAACGCTGTTCTAATTATCAAGGCCGTCCATGTTACACGATTCTTGGCCCACCTCGTTGGTGGACCCAGGCTTTGGTTGCGGGCTTTGAGAGTTTGGGGGCTTTGGGGGTGCAGGGATCTAGTGGTGCCGGAGATATTTGAGAAATTGTGTTCGGAGTTTTCGGTTTTTTCTGTACGAGTCGATGTAGGGAATGTTCTGACGCGACTTCCAACAAAACCTATACCTCCGAGCCGGCTTCTGAAAGTGCGAGATCGGGACCCAGACGCTGAGACCAGATGCCCTGCATGTGCGCAGGGTTGGCAGAGCAGCTAAGGCTGTCGGCCCTTGGTGGGTTTGGGGCTTTAGGGTTTAGGCTTTAGGTCTTTAGGGTTTAGGGTTTACTTAGGGCTTCAGGGCTTCGGGTTTCAGGGTTTATGGCTTCAGGGTTTAGGGTTTAGGGGTGTCGAATGTTGAGATTTGCGGCTCTGGAGTCTAGGGCTTGAGATTCCGGGTTTCGGACTTCAGGCTAGGTTGTAACCCCTAAGCCCTAGTAGTTTTCCGAGTCTGTGGGGAAGTGCCACGACTCTTATCGCAGTCAAAAAACCCGATAAGCCCATAAATACGTATATGCCCCATTTTCCTAAAAAACGTTGTAAACTCTTTAAGGCCTTATAAACCCCGTGAAAAGGAAGCCTAGTTCGAGTAATCTTGCCTGCCTCTGGGAGGTTTCCGACCTCAGCGGAAGGAAGAGGCTCTAGAAAGAAACATATCATTATTATAGGCCCCTATAGTAAAGCTTTCAAAAGTTGGAAACTGGATTAAGGACAATTGGTGCTGGGATTCCCTATACATTACTACTCTTAAGGATTGAGGCTATCGGGTTTCCAACTTTTGGGCTTCTTCTGTAAACTATTTAATATAAGCCCTATAAGCCCTAGCAGCTACAAGGGCGCGCCTTACGACTTCCAGAAGCTCTACCAAGTCACGAAGGTTCGCCACTTCGGTATTTCCGGCAGTAAGACCTGTAGGGGTAGTTCTCTAAATTAGGCTCCCTTTTCAGGTCCCCACTATTTGGGAATCAGAGAGAAGGGAAGCGTTTGGGGGTTTTGGGGTTCCGGGCTCAGGATTTTTGGGTTGGGCATACCTTGAACCCTGGAGCCCGTTGATTCTTTTAACCAGCCAGAATGATGCCACGGGTCCTTGACCAGGGCGCAGCAAACAAAGTTGCGAAGCAAAGGAATGAGGATCTCGATAAGATCCGGTACTACATGTCTAAGAACTGAATACACAGGAGAAATCATAGGGAGGAACCCCAACACAGGTGGGTTTCTTGTAAAGGGTTCAGGCAACCCCCCTAGACCCAGATGTGCAGCTTCCGCCACTTGCTCGATCCCGACACTCCAGCTAAACTGGGTTCTTGTTCAGGGATTTAATTTAGGTTACCAGAATAAGGAAACCATATTATTTACTATAGACCCCTATTGTGGGAACTTAAATTAAATCCCTTAACAAGAACCCAGTAAAACCTGAAACCCCGAACAACAAAGCCGAATCAAGGCCAGTCGACTAGATTGTTCGCCCGGCCGTTTGAAGTTTGCACCTGCAATGTATTCTGGTTTTCGTATGTGCTTTTGAGATGTGTATCTGCATGTGTGCGTGTATCTGTGTATTTCCTTTTTTTACATTATGTGGATGTATATATGTATATGCCCATATCTATGACGTTTAGGGTTTAGGGTTTAGGGACACGTAGGTGCGGTTTGCTGTGGCAGCAGGCTGTAGTCGTGACCTGTAGTACGATTTACACATACATGCCCTCTAACAACGGAACAAGATGGACACAGCTTCCGAACCCCTAGGCTGCAAGACTGTCGGGAGAAAAGTGTTTCTGAGGCACCCTTAAGCATCCAAATCTGTGGAAGAGTGGTAAGACTATCGTGCTTGATTTGATTTGTGCCTTCGCACATTCGTCGATTTTCAGATGTGGGACGCTGAGGTTGTGACAAAGAACCTGAACAAGGTGATCGACCGTAACTACTATCCAGCACCTTCGCTGCGCAGAGACTCAGGCACTTTCCGTTTGTTCGGTTGTGTTTGTGTCTGGGTGTGTGTCTCTCTCTCTCTCTCTCTCTCTGTCTTTTTGTCACGTACGAAACTGCCACAATTGCCGTTTCGAGCCCTGAACCCTAAACTGCATGCTCCAAAGGTTCACAGGCGTTGAGCGGGGGGGTAGCGGATTCAACTTGTCGGGCCCCGGCGTCCCGATGTGAATCGCTAGCCTAGTTCCACGAAGCCCTATTTACGGTTTAGGGTTTAGGGTTTAGGGCCCTATCATCGTTCTTTTCCACGAGAGCCCCGAAAAGGCGCTAGACTAAGCCCCCTAAAAGCTATCAACTAACTCTCCAAAGACCAGCCTCCTACTCGCTAAAGCTTCACAGAACAAAAGGCTCACGCAATCTCACCAAAATTCCAAATCCCCACTCCCTAAACCAGCTGGTTGCAGACTTCTGTAGCGGAGGGAACAGGTGTTTAAGACAATAAATGCCGCCTCCTCCCCAGATTTCCAGCTTTAAGGACCCTAAACCCTATTCGGCCCTAGTCCTTAATCCTTAAACCTACTCCCTAAGCCAATAAAACATTACTAGTCATAATGGTCATCACAACAATAGCTATGATAACTCCCCAGCTTCCCAGCTGTTGAGGTCCAGGCGGCCCGGAACTCGAACATGAGGCACCGTCCCGTCGGTCTCGGCGTTCAGGGCCTTGCTGACGCCTTCCTGCCACTGGGGCGCAAAGAAGGAGCTGGTCGAGATTTGGGCCCTAGGATTTAGGAGTTGAGGTTGAGAGTTGAGGGGTTTTGGGGCTTTTGGGCTAAGATAAACCGTTGAGCTCGAATTCAGAGAATTCAGTGCTACAGCAAAATAATTCGGTATTACAGCAGGGGCAGAAATCATCGCGGAGGCCACGTTGCCTGAACCCCAAACCCTCTCGTCGAAGCATACAATCTCCCACGCATCAACCGATGTCGTTCGGGCCCACTCAATCCGAAGGCCTTCCTGCGCCCAACCATCAAATTGACCATCAAAGACAATAAAGACTATAGGGCTTAGAGAGAAGGGTCACACTGTCTCTGACAACCACGGCAGTTCAGAATATGGCAGGCCGCAGCAGCCATGCAGAACACTGGCCTCTCCCACACTACACTTACCCCGAAACTTTACCACAACACTCGGAACGCGTTGCTTTAAATTTAAACCTCCAAACCCCAGACACCAGAATCGTCTAGCCCAGACAACACCTCTTCAAGTCGTTCATAACCGCTAAACATTATGTTATTTGTTAGCAAGTAAAGAGTAGATCTTATAGCAATTTGAGCTTCTGCCGCACTTGTAAGGATGATGAAACTGCCCTTCGAAAGCGCCGCTCGGAACTGCACCAAGATCAAGAGGGTTTAGGGTTGCGGGTTTGCAGTAGCGCCCCCAACCCCCCTTCTGACTTCTAAAGCCCTAAAGCCCCCTAAACCCCCAAACCCAAACCCCAAAACGGTTTAAAGGGCTTCAGAGGTTTCTGGGGCTGCCCTCGAACTGCTGCTTTATCATGGCAGCTTAAAGGTAAAATGGTCTTCGGTTTTTGCAAGCCCTGAACTCTAAACCCGAAATCCGAAAGCCCTGATCCCTCCTGTAGACTCAAAGCTGGCCACTCAGCCGCAGTAGATCCTAAAATCCTTCTTGACCCTCAACCCGTCCCCAAACCCATGTAGACCCTAAGCCCCTAAGTCCTAAACCGCCAGCGACCCCTCATCCTAAAACCCTAAACCCCTGAACCCCTAAACCCGAAACCCCAAACCCAAAGCCCGAGACTCTAAACCCCAAACCCAAACCCGAAGCCCTAAACCCCTGAATCCTAAACCCCTAAATCCCAAACCCAAACCCGAAGCCCGAAACCCCTGAGCGCAAACTTTCACCAGGAGGAGGCGAAACGTCTGAATGAGGCACCTGGGACGCAAGTGGCTAGGGTTTACCCATAGGCTCCTAAATAGTTCCTTTTTGGTGGGTAATATTTAGAATCCTATAAGGATTATCCCCAAAAGGAACTACTAAGGAGCCTATGGGTAAGGGACTCTACGTGCTGGTCTTCTTGCTCCTGTGTGATAGGACCATAACTATGAAACTGATTCTTCGAACATGCCAGGAATCATCAGAAAAAATTCTGAAACGGCAGTGTTTCTGGGCATAGGAAGGGCCACAATATTTCTTGCGGAGTCTGGCATCGGGCCTTTCGCTGTAAGTTGAACAAAATCTTTAGATACTTAACTCCCCGTGCGTCACACGTTTGTGCCTGGAGTTCGCAAATAAGCCCGATGGGCCTGTCTGCTGTACTCCCGCCCGAATTCGACGTGAGACTTTCACAAGGACATCTTTGAGACCATCTACTTCGCGGCTTGCGAGGCTTGCTGGTGCAAATCAGCAGGGGTGTTTCACCGGGGATGCATGTGAGGAACCCAAACCTCCAATACCATATTAGCACATATCATGGAACATTACATCACAGTATGTTCTCTATATATACTCCAAATCATCTACTATTCTGCTACCTTCACCCTCTAAACCCGGCTCTTGAACTTCGATGCTAGAGGTTCGGGCGTTCTTGTGTGTTTTGTTTCGTGCTTCGTCGACACCACTAGAGTGCACGACACCCTGGCCCTGGCCCTAGACTAGACTCTGTGGCGATAGAAGAGTGGATAAAAGGAGAATATATAGAGAATATACCGGAAGCTAACATAATTTTCATAATGATGTACTGTTACATGATATGTTGTGACATGACATAACACAGATTCCCTTGTCTGAATATGAACCAGCTCAGTTTCTCCGAAGGATCGCAAGAGCTCCAAACCCAGGGTTGATTGGTTAGGGGTTTTCGGGTTTAGGGTTTTTGGGGGTTGGGGCTTTTCAGGCATCGAAGCTCCTTTGATAAGCTTGTGCTTGCAACTAACCCCACATTCTCGCACAACAACTGCTACAGGGGTCTGCATATTTAGCAAGCGTATCCACGTAAAGCCCCTAGATCAGCATGATGCAACGGACCCCCAAACCAACAGCTGCAGAGTAGAAGCCCTAAATCCTTAGCTTCTTCCCAACTCCCCGCCCTCCAACCGTGGACTCCAAGCCCCATGCCCTTAAGCCTAAACCCCAAACCCCCAAGCCCTAAGCCCTAAACCAACAGGCCCCCCAGCCCTAAACCCTAACCCTAAGGGTCCAAGTACCCAATAATCATATTATATACTCTTCTGACTACTAACCTACAAAACCACTATCCGTAACCCAAGTACATGATTATTAGGTCCTTTGGACCCCTAGGGTAAGCCCTAAAGTGCCAACCCCAAAAGACCCCACCCACGTCCAGGCTTCCTGCGAGCTTGCGGCTGCCCAGGGGCCTTATGAGTCTCTCGGTTTGGGCTTAAAGTTTAAAGTTTAGGGTTGAGGGTTTAGGGTTTGGGGTTTAGGGTTGAGGGTTTAGTGTTTAAAGTTTAGGGTTGAGGGTTTAGGGTTTGGGGTTTAGGGTTTAGGGTTTAACGTTTAGGGTTTAAAGTTTAGGGTTGAGGGTTTAGGTGTTTGGCGGTTGAAGGTTAAAGGTTGTAGTTTAGCAGGCTAGGACGTTACTGCACCTTTTCAATTAATTAATACTATTCCCTGGGTTTTCCTCCTTATTATCCTAGATCAATGCCCTACTTCACTTGTGTAGGCCCCGGCATAGTACCGATGCTTCCAGGAGCTACGGCGGAAGTCCCGCCAGCAAGGGCATTCTCCAGCATCGCGGTGCGTAAATGTGAAGGATTTTCGACGTTTCAAGGGCTGCGTATAGATATACAAGGATACCCATAGGCTCCTAAGTAGTTCCTTTTGGTGGTTCATATTTAGAATCCTATAAAGCAACCCCCAAAAGGAACTACTAAGGAGCTCACGGGTATTCTAGGAGTTCCATTGCTTCTTGTTTTCAAGGCTGCGGGTTTCGGAATTCAGGCTTTAAAGGTCTCGGGTGCGAGGTTTTCTCAGGCTTAGCCGCTTTGCAATTGATGCCTGATGGTGATTCGGGCTTGCGGGGCCAGGGCTCAGAGGATCAGGGCTGCGTCGCTTTTGTTTTGAGTTTTTTCCGGATCGTTGGGGTTTGGGGTTTAGGGTTTAACTAACGCTTCAGATCTCAGGCTCTGTAGCCGAAGCTAGTGACTGAATGGATTCGTAAGCCTTGATCATGAGGGTTTTGCTGTGCCAGGCATGTTTGACATCGTTTGGCCCGAGTTTTAACAGCATTCAGGTCCAAGTCATGCTGCAGATTTCATGGCCGCTTACTCACGCTTGAGGGTTTAGGGTGAGGATGCAATGGATTAACCTTATCCAGCGTTGATTTTGGATGCCTGCAACATTGAGAGGATGATCAACAAGCATCAAGCGAAACCGTGATCTGCCGGTTGCAGTTCGAATACATACATGCATGCATGCAAAGGTATGTACGGTGGTACTGTACGTACTCCATGCATGCATAGAGACATGCGTGCATGCATGCATGAATGCAGGCAGGCATGCAGGCAGGCAGGCCAGCAGGCATACAACACCACACAACCGCACTGCCGTGCATCCTGCCCATATCTAACCCTTATGGTGCATTTTTAGATCACATCTGCTCACGTCTGCATACATATGCATACACATATTCGCACGTGCATGCAATCACATGTATATACTCACATACACATGCGCACGCACCCTCACACACACACATACGTATCATACATACATGCATACATGCATAAATATATATGCATGTGTATATATATATGTAT